TTAACGGAATTCGATTGCAAAAGTGATGATCGTGTGAAATTTGATGACGTGATTATTTAATTATAAAAAAAAAAATTTCTGTGGAATTTATATATATTTTTTTTCACTACGTATAATTTTTATTTTACGAAACTCACCAAAAGAAAAAATGATGTTTAAATTATTTACACCTCGGAAAGGGGAAGAAAAATATTTTTTTCTTCTAAATTTATACGATTTCAACAAACTATTTAATCTCGTGGCTGGCAAAAACGTATGATTAACAAAAATCCCCTCACATATATTTATGACAAACAAAAATAAAGCGGAAGAAAAAAAAAAAAATTTTTCGGAGGCAAATTATGATTTTCAACTATATGAATCAAAAAAAAAAAAAATCGATAATTTATATTCGAAAAAGTTCCAAGGCTCGTAAGCCTTTTTTTTTTTTTTATTTATTTTTTTTTTTTAAAAAAAAAAAAAATTGATCGGATAATAATAAAAAAGGGGAACGAAACGTTATGTATTATTCTTTTTTTCGATTTTCGGACAATCAACATAAAGATCATACTTGGGATCTTTTTTTATCGAACGATGAACGGACGACTTGTTCAAATAATTTTCGGACGGACAACATTTCAATACTGGAAGAAAAAATTTTTTAGTTAAATAAAAAAAAAACTCGAAAATAAAAGCGTATTCAAATAAAGACACTAGATGTCTTTGTCGGCGAGAATCTGGCAGCAATGATATTAAGAATATAGACGATAAAACAATAATAGGACTAGATTTATGTCTCCGAAATAAATTTGGTCCTTGATGACTTATTATCATTCTGTCACTCTTTTTTTTAAAAAATGATTTAATATCGTTAAATACCCTTGCTTTTTTTTTTTTTGAAAAAAATGCCTGGTATTCAAATATATAAAAACGAACATTTTTCTTTACTTTTTCTTATTTATATTTTATATTTTATTTTATTTTATATATCTATTGGACATTCTGTATATTTTTTATTTCTCATTTTTAAACCCTAGCTCTCTGATCGACTTACCAAACTTTTAATTGAAATTCCGTACAAATATTCATTTTCTTTTATTCTTTTTTTTCATTTGATATTTTTTAAATTCCTTTTTTTCTTTTATTCTATTTTTTGCTTTTAATTTTGTCCTTTTTTTTTCGTTGTGTTGTATAGTATATAACTTTTTTTTATAAGCACCGTGAACAAATTTTTATTTTTTTGTAAATATAAATTTTTTGTAACAAAAAAAAATTAATTCTCAAACAAAACCATTAAGCTAAACAATAAAAACAATCCGAACATAAGGGTTACGAAAAATATAATCACGACTTTTTTTTTTTTTTTTTTGGTCTTTTTTAATGATAAACCTAAATATGTACGAATAATGGCTTTAACTTTTACATTTTAATTCATTCAAGGTTAGTGTGAGAAATTTTCGTCTCCTTGAATAGAATTTCGTAATTGTACGCGCACGGACTTCCATCATAAATATCCCGATAAAATTTTTGCCAAAGAAATGTGTGAGACCTTTCAAAATTTTTTTGAGTGTGGCGCGCCCTAAGACAATAGTTTTTTTTTTAGGTAAAAAAAAAAATAACCTTTTCTAATTATATTATATCAAGTAATTGAAAAAGGAAACAATAAAAACATATTCATACAAATTACGAACCAAATCAAGAAAAGACCCTTTATCCAAAAGAGGATCTCTAAGAACGCCCAATAATCAATAAAGACGCACAGATCATAAATAACCATGTGTTTTTAAAGATAAAAAATATTCTAGAACATGTATTGTTGTGTTTGTTTATTCTATTTTAATAAAAAAAATGGGTTTGATGTGATGGTTTTGATTTCACTGCGTCACGGAAAATTATGTGTCGGAGGAGAAATCTAGTTATGTTAAATTTCATCATAAAAATGTGTCATCTGAAGGTTAAAGTTTATATGGCTACATTGTTGTTTATTAATTATATTTATTATATTGCAAGTAAATTATTAACAATGGCAACTTATTATCTCTTAAAGAAATGTGATATTTAATACATAATTAGCTAATTATAAATGAAGCATAAGAGATTTATAAACCTACTTAACTGGATAATAAGTATACAATCATTATTTTAAAAAATGCAATTGTTATAGTAAAATTTTAAAAAGTTTAATTTAAAATGTTTAGATAGTTTTATGCAATATAAATAAATTTATTAAATATCTAATAAATCTAGGTTGTTTGTAATTAAAATTAATAGTGTCTAGAAATAATAGATTTTATATATAATATTTATTTTTAAAATCACTTATATGATTTAAACCTTATAATGAAATTTTAACAATTGTAAATTTAATAATTTTAATAAGTTGCAATTTTATTTTAAAATTTTAATATATATGAAATTAAATAACAATGTTCTAATAATACTTAATTATTAATTATTAATTTTTAATTATTAAATAGTTAGAATTCTATTATAATAAAATTATATATTAGGAATTTATTTAATTTATTTATTATATAAATTTATATTCTGTAATTTTTTATAAGATTATACTATTATTTATACATTTATATATAAAATTAAAATTAAAATCAAAAAGTCAAAATAATTGACTTGAAAAATCTAAAATTAAAATAAAATTCAAAATAGTTAAAATAAATTATTTAAATTAAAAAAAAAATTCTTAATAAGCTAATTTAATATATAAAATCATAAATTTTAATTATTAATTATTAAATTAAAATAAATCTAATTAATATATTTATAATAGAATATTTAATCAATATTTATTATAAAAATATAAAATTACTACATTTTATTAATTTTATAATTACTAGATGCTAAGGTAATTAAATGTAATATTTAAATAATTCTAAATTATTATTTCAAGCATTTTGCAAACAAATTTGCCTGCAATTTATTTAATAATTAAAATTATTTATAATAATTTTAAATATTTTTAAAATAATTTATTTAAAAATTAATATTTTTATAATAAATTTTATGATATTTTCTAAGTAAATATTCAATAAAAAAATGTAATTAATTAGTAATATTTTAAAGATAAATATATGATAATTATTATAAAAAAAACTTAAATTTTTAAAATTTATATATCTTACTATCTATTAATCTCAAAAATATGAAAATATAATTATTTAATAGATCTTAATCTAATAAATTAAATTTTATTTTTTTTGTAATTATTAGATAATAAGTTATTTTAAAAAAATTGAAAAATTGATAAATTAATATATATTAATAATTACTAATTTAAAAAATTTAAAAATATTATCATTAGTTATATATTAATATAATAAATCTAATAAACTTTATTTTATTTTTTAATGATTACTAGATATTAAAATATTATAATTTTTCCAAAATATTTTATAACCAATTTTATATTTATACTTTAAAAGATAATAAATTATTTGATGATATTATAAATTTATTTCAACTTTTGAAAATATCAAAATCAAAATAAATTTGATTTGATCATTTTAATTTTAATTTATATAATCTTATTACAATTTTTTAAATTTTATTAATTTAATTAAATATATATAAATATTAGAATTTTATAATTTATCGCTATAGTAATATATCACCAGTTCCTAAAATTATATAATTAATATTTTCACATGATTTTTTACACAATGTCATTGTGGGGGTTCTGGGACGAAGTCCCACAATCCTCAATGACATTGTGTATCCTGTTCACTCGTAAAATCCATATCGATTTTTCCTACTATACTAGAAGAGATTCTGAAGGCTCCAGATTTTTAATTTCTGTATTAACTTTTTTAGTTATATTTAATAAGCCATACAAAAGTAGTATATCAGGATCTATTTCTATGTGAGTTAGATCAATAAATAGCATATTTTCATAAAAAGTCATACAAAATTATCCCATTTCCTCCATAAATAAGTCATACGAAAAATTCTCAAATAAATCATACGAAAAATGTATATCAGGAAGTATGTTAAATGCCTCTCAGAGGTCTGGAAATATAATAAAAATTTTTTGTCCCAATTCCTCCTAAATAAGTCATACGAAAAAATAATTCATACGAAAATTCACAAATAAGTCATACGAAAAATGTATATCAGGAACAGTTTCTACGATGCCTAGCGAAAATTTTTGTCCCAACTTTTTCTTAGTCATACGAAAAAAATATATAACAGGAACTATCTCAGAGGCAAGTTAGCCAAATAAATAGCATATTGATCACTTAAATCTTAACGAAAATTTGCAATAAGTTGCAGTTCCAAGCCCCCTATCAATAAATCTAATTTATCTCAATGTTATATTCCCGATCCTAGTTTAAAGCTTTAGCCCGCAATCTATTATAGTATTGGACAACATAGTACCCCTTGATATGTGATGGACACCGACCACAAGCAGAAGCAGTAGGTTTTCGGCAATCAGAGTATGGTACCCGTTTTTTAGCTTTCCAATGGAACTGGCACCCTTCGGGCCTAATACAAGCTCTTGCACAAGCCTTTTCAGAGTTGCTGAGATATGGGCACGAATATTCACCGATCATTTTGATATGTATAGGAAATAATTAATTAAAGAAAAGATTTTATAAGCAAGTAATAGCGCGACAGTAAGAGCTAACATCATGGTTAGAAAATCGAGAAGTGATAAAAAAGATACAACTTGTAAACGTTGTGGTAAAGTGTGTGCAAATCCAAATAAACTTTGTGAGCATCTTAGACGAAAAAATCCATGCAGACCGTTATCAGAGATAACTGCTTCTATTCAAGTTCCCATTCAAGTACCCATCCAAGCACCAATCCAAGTGACAATCCAAGAACCTGTTCAAATACCTGTTTAAGCACCCATTACAGTAGCTATTAATGATACTCCTTTCAAAAATCCTAAAATCGAATGGAATTATCAGGATATAAAAAGAAAATTAGGCATTTTTAAAAACTTGCAACTGGAAATATGCTGTAGACCTGAGGAGTTTGATAGAAAGCGTTTCTACTTAGAGATGAAAAAAGAGGGTGATAAATCATATACAGGTATAATTACATCAAAATGGAGTATGTTTCTAAATTCAGTATTCCAGTATTTACAACGAGATTTTGGTAAAAAGAGAGGGGTTGTAGCTGAAATTCGTAAAGAAATATTTCCAGAAAGGTTGGCAGAGGCAACAAGTGATACTGAACTTCATGATCAAGCTCCTATTATTCTGGCTACAACTCCTAAGGTTCCTGAGGACAATACCCCAAAGCCGTATATTACCCAGGAGGAGGCAGACAGATTTGTCAACCCAAATGCCCGTAAACCTGAAGAACACTTCAGGAAATGGGGAGCAAGGTTGCTAAAAAGATGGAAGGAACTTGGTCTAGGTGATATAGATAGACCGGAAAACTTACATGAATGCAACCTTCTTTGTCACAATCTTGAGCAATATGATCCTGAAGCAACTAGACCTTCCACAAAGGGGGAATATGAGAGAATATTAGCTGAGAAGGCAGAAGAAAAGGATAGTCATGATCCAGAGGCCGGTCCTGGTCCAGCAACCCAAGACAACAGAGAAAAGGCAAATAATGAATTCAGGCATTTGGGAGAAATTACTGATGAACAAGAACAAGACCTAGAATTTAGGGAGCAAGAAGAATTAGGCACAGCAGTTAAAAGAAGAGCCATAGCAGTGCATCGTGCAAAAGTTCCCAGATCTCATCCAGACAATGGAAGTGATATACGAAAAATGTTAAAGAGTCAGAGAAAGCAGTTTAGAGAAATACTTGAAAAGGAATTTAATAAGCGTGGACAATTTAAGTTCGCTCTATGTTCTCTTACTAAATTTCTTATAGATGATAAACCTGGGAATGAAAAACAGGGAAAAAAGAATTTACGAACTGACTGGCTTAGAAATAAGCAAATTATAGTTTATAATAGAGATGAAATAGATGATTACTTAAGCAATACTTTTGAACAAATTCTATACCAAGTGTAGGAAAGAGGAGGTAAATCTAATGCTTGAGAATATATTTGGGGGGTAATACTGTGTCTGGCAGGGCGATTTGTAGTTCTTCTCTTATAAATGAACGTCTAGGACCCTTGTAAAGCTTGTAGAGAATAGGCTGATTTTCTTTTATTAAATAAGAATCGATTGTAAAGACTTCAGGAGACCAATTGCAATCAGTTGCTCTTCTTTTCCAACCTTCTAATTCACCGGGTTCTAATAGATGCCGAACTTCAGTATAGCTAGGTAAAAGTGG